CGTAAACCGTACTTTATGGTCCGGTGCCGATCCCTACGGCAGACATGATCCGAGACAAAGCCAGTGACCGGCCGGTCACTTTTTCGGCTACTTGCAGATGGCACTGCAATGTAGATGGCTTGCATATGGCTGCAGTGCTCAGGACTCCCCACATCGACCGCTGAGGCAGGCAAGGTGGGCCGGATACGGCTGCTGTAGTCAGAATCAACATGCTCCTTTGAAGAGGAGACTGTGAATGCAGTCAGCTTTGAGGCCACAGACACCAACACCATGATCTCCCCGAATGGTTCGACAATGCTCATGTCGTATGGGTATCCCAAATCTCCAGACTCGGATCTGCAAGTTTGGGGACAAGCACCGCCAGCGCAGTTGAGGGAGCAGTGCTGATGAGCACCGGCTTGTATACCGTGGGTGGGAGGCAGTGCCAGGTTGCGGACAGAGATGCTCTTGAGGAAAGCCAGGCTGGTTGGGTATGCGCAGAGAGTGAGAGAAAACAATCACTGGTGTCACGTCCAATGGGGCACTTGGAGCAACGCCGTGGCCAGTGAGCTTGGCGCGCAAGGTTGGCTGGGTTGGCACAAAACCACCGCTCATCGCCAGCGGGTCGGAGCTGACCAGACAGCACCACCCGAGTCGCCAGCGGAGTTCCAGAGGAAAATGTTGTGCCGAGGTAAAGTCGTGTGTTGCGAGAAATAAATGTTGCAGAAAATATGTACTTTTGAAAATGTTTCGCAGATTTTGGGAATAGGTGTGATCCAAGTTTTTTGTTCAAAATGTTGTGGAAAACTGGAATTTTCACAAAGTGTGTGTAAAAATAGTACTTCCCCACTTTGACCACCATACTGTAGTAATTTATTCAATTCGGCATGCCAAAAGGGTGTGACATCGGCGCCGAAATCAAATTTTTGTGACCGCCAAATTGAATAAATTACTACAGTATACACCCCAGCTTTGAATATTACTTGAATAAAGTGAATTTCTCATTATAGAAAAATCCCACTTAGGCATTCTAGCCCCAGTTGATCCTCTCTATCTCCTATGTTCGTCCTCACCCTACTGTGCTTGCCTGCTCTTCCCCAATGACGACTCCTGGCGTCCCTGTCGACCTGTATTCTTACTGCCCGCTCCTGCAGAGCGAAATTACTTGCCTCACCGACCATCTAGACCACCTTGAGTATGGTACGCCTGCTCCACCCCCTGCTCCCCCTTCCACTGATCCTACATTCCATGGTGTTTAGGACAGCACTCGCTGGGTTCTTCCAACAGTCCCTGCCCCTACCCCTGCTGTCATTGCTGCTGCCCACACTTCTATACCACTCGCCGAAACCTTCCCTCCTACTGCGCCTGACACTGTCATGCGCCTCTCTTGTACGCTTGTGGTGCCTGACTCAGCTGTCGGGCATACCGTGGGTCGTGGCGGCAAGGGTCTTCACTAAGCTCATGACACTTCCGGTGCTCAGTTGCGCGCGTACTCTGATTGCGCTGCGCCTGGCAAATGCCAGGTCTCTATCCAGGGAACCGACCAGCAAATCGGTGAAGCGCTTATTGCGCTTGGGAAACGGTTCATGCGCAAGCGTGTCCATGCGAAGAAGCAACGTCAGCCACCGTCTGCTGAGGGACCTACCTGCCCCCCCTCCTCCTGCTGCGCCTGTGCCTGTACCACGTGCCACGAAGATGGATGTCGACCGTGCCCCTCCGCACCGCTCGTCCACCATGATCCACGCCCAGTCTCAGGTGCCCCGCGCCACTACTGCAGTTCGACCTGCCACTCATCCGAGGGCCTCGGCCGCTAGTGGGCCAGCTACTTCCCCCCTCTTCCCGTCTTTCCTACCCCGCCAACCTGCTGCCGCCACTACCCAACCTATGCAGGCCGAGGCACCATCTCTTCCTACCCCCCAGCCTTACCCTACTCCCTTCGCACCCTCAGTGGTTATGGCCACTCCGTCAGCGCTGATCAGCGCATCACCTACCCTGATCGGCTCTCCTATGCAGATTGACGCCGCGTAACCGGCAGACCGCCCGACGAGGAGGCGTCCCTGCGCATCGCGCGTCATAGGCGACAACCTCTATTTCCCTGGCGATCCCGAATACGAGTTCGCAGAACCCTACACTCCGCCTATCCGTCGAGGCGACAGATCTTGAGGAGGGGTTGATGTAAGGGGAGCATGTGATGTGACAGCTGTGACAGATCACGTGAATGGTCCGTGCGCAGATAGCCCTGTACTTAAGTAGTTGGCTGTGGGGCTGTTCCCCCGGCTTTGGTATCAACTAGGCACCTGGACCCTTATCCCCTGATAGAAAGCTCTCGAATGTCTCCATCGTAAATGACACTTCCCGTATGCTAAGCGAGATGATGCCATCGAGGGAGAGTGCTGGAAGCACAGAATAGCTGAATGTAAGTCAGAGTAGACTGGAGTACAAGTATCTGGACATGCACCGCTAGCCACAAACAAAAAAGCCTTCCTCACTGCTCGCCTTCCCTTAATTGCCTATGCCTTCCCTCAATATGACGTTTATCGGTCGCAGGAGCTCTTGTCAACAAATACAAGTTGCTCAGGGCTGTAGCAAAGACCCATCTTGAGTCTGAATGATGCTCTCTTGAGGGCATTTCGTTCAATGGCAACCCGGGTAAGCTTTCGAAGTCAGACATCATTGTCTGGCACACACAAGCACACACACCTTCTTCATTGTAGATCCACTTCGCTGTAAGGCCCTCCGAATAGTGGACAACAAGACATCTCTCCCACACTGCTTCTCAAACTCGTACTGCAGCTCATCCAGATGCCGGTCACAGCTTCTATTCAGGCATCCCTGTAAGAACTGAACTAGAGTTAGAAGAGCGTAAAAAGGTCTTGGAAATTGCACCGCAACTTCCAGTGTATTCAAATACCTTGTTTACCTTTGCCATCTACATGCCCCATTTGATACATCTCCAGTTTCCCAAAAGCATTTCTCACTGTGATATATTTGACATCTTAAAACCTTGGTGTAGGCCGTGATTGTCTTCTTATCAAGGGTGGAGCCCATTCTGACGATGGTCCAGTGTGGTGGTCGAAAGAGAAGAAGACACGACAAGTTACGTGTCAAGTCACATGACGACTTGACACATCTGTTTTGGACCCATTCATGGATGGATAATTGTGAAACTTGGTGAGCAGATAAGGCGTTCAATTTCGAGCATTTATTGTGTTTGAACTATGTAGAAATACCCAGTGGTCATTAGGGGAGTTCACGGTAGGCTGGGCAAGCCTTTGGGCAAACGACGAGGAAATTAAAAAGAAACGTTTCTGAGTTTTGCACACCGAAACTCGGTGGGCAGGTTTTATTCGAGTGTTGGGCAAGAATTTATTAGCTAAGCGACGTGATCCGTGGTAACGAACGTGACGCGAAATTTTCACGTCGCCCGCATGTCTGCCCCGACGGCTGTCAACGCAGCAGAGGCCGCGCGACTCACGGCCGAGCTGCGTGCTGCGCAGGGCCTGCCACCCGAGCCCGAGCCCGCGCCTGAGCCCCAAAAGCGCCGCCCCGGCCGCCCAAAAGGATCGAAAAGCAAGCTTCCCAACATGAAGACGACGGCACAAAAGGCCCTGGCCACGAAAACCGCAGCCAAGCCTGTGGCCAACAGCAGAAAGGCGAAGAAGCCCGCCGAGCCTGTTCCGGACGAAGAAGCAGAGGAAGCCGAGGCGCTGCCAGATGGGGTGGCTGACATCCCGTGCATGCTCACGTCTTCTCTGTGCCCACATTCCGCTGATCTCGAGTCTCCACCCAGCTGGAAGTCGGAGCACGCTCTCTCGGAGACCCTCCTCACCCACATCGAGAGCAACGAGCCCCGCCGCCTTGCCCTTGGCTTCACAAAAGGCAACGGGTCCGATGCCGGTCACTCGACCACCGCGAGACCGGCAGACCACCACAAACGGCTCGTCGTGAAGACCCTCAACCCCGACCCGCGCTGGGCTGACATTCCGCCGGAGAAGCTTCGTCCCCCAGGTCCGCGGACGGCTCAAAGCGTGCGTGGCCGTCGTCTCGCTCCCGTTCTTTGCTGACGAAACTTTCAGTATGCGCACCATTACAATGTGCGAGTTCGGCAAGTTTACGCAAACGGGCCACGGGTCTGGTAGAGCAGGGAAAGGCAAGCGAGCTGGAGGGCGATGCTGCGAATATGCTCGGTGCGTCGCCAACGACTTTCTCTCCTTGACCAGTAGGCTGACTCCAAGAAGAGGAGGTCCTCACCAAGTACCTGTGGTTCCTGCACATGACACAGCTCATTCGCGGGAGCCCCGTCACCGACCAGCGCCATTGCTCGAACAGCACGACGTCGCTCGATGACGGGCTCGACCTGATGCTCGGACGTGGTGCCGCTTCAGATGTGCGTGCAGCATTTCCTTCTCATTCTTCTTTTACGCTGACATGACACTTCCAGATGGACGATATGGCTACGGATTCCGAGGGCCCACCTCCCGGCAGCGGGTTCGGCGAGTTGGACGAGGAGGAACTGGCCGAGATCGACGCCGACCGCGATGCAAACGAAGCGGAAGACTTGCTGGACCTCGGTAGCCCGCAAGGCAGCCCGCCGCCGCCTGCATACACCCCGCCTGTTCCCGCACCGACTCTACCCAAGCCCGCCGTGGCCACAGCACCCCGCGTTGCACCGGCAGCGGCACGTCGCCCCGCTGCTGGTGCAACTCGTCTCAAAATCACGCTGAAAGCGCCAGCTGCTCCGCCACCGACTGTGGCCAAGTGCAAGGGACCCATGGACACGCTGGCCGGGCTGCTCCAAGGTGAACGAGATGCAAAACGTCAAGCTCTCGACTCGAAGCACGAGCACGAGCGGCTTTTGGCGCGAGAGAAGCACGAGTCGGAGATGAAGATGCTGCAGTTCCAAGCGGACGAGAGGGAGCGGGTGCATCAACGCGAGCTCGAGATGATCAAGGCGCGAACGGAGGCACAGTACGGACCAGCTTTTGACTTCTCGGGAGCATACAACGCCTGATTCTGTGTACCTACGCTACATCGTTCTCGTCGTTACTGTTCTCTGTACGCAAAAAGTCAAATAGCATCTCCTTGATCTCGCATCGCCGTTCCTCTGCTGCTGCAAGCTCGATATCGCGAGCATCGGCATCAGCGGCACCTGCCTCAGCTACATCCGCCTGAACATGCTGCAGACCCTCGAGGAAAAACACGTCAGTGTCCATGTCGATGTTGCGTTCGTGGACCATCGCGAAGTTGTGCACGACCATGCAGGCAATAATCCAGTATGTCGCAAAACCAATATGCTCTTGGTCATCGATTCGTAGCCGAAGGCCACGCAAGGAGCAGAATCGACCCTTGAGGTACCCAACTGCATGCTCCGAGCGGACACGGACGTTGGCGACGTAGTAGTTGAAGATCTCGTTCCAGTCCTGGAACTTCATCGGTCTGGGGTAGCTCAGCCTTGAGCGTAGAAAATAGCAATGGAAGCTTATGCTTTGTATGGAGCCATAAGCCAGAGCTGCAGTGGATAGGCAGAGTCGGCCCAGATCCATTCTCCGTTGGGAAGCAAGACTACAAACTCGCTTGGAATTCGAGTTTTCTTCCACGCAGTTGCATTGTGTTGGCTCCCTGGAAGACCGATTCCGTAGTCGATAATCCGCAGGTCTGGGGTTGTGATCAGCTACGAACTAAGTGAGTAAAAATGGAGAGGATTGAGCTGCAGCAACACGAACCTGCACGTTGAGGGAGTAGTTGGACTTGCGGTCGAACCAATTGTTTCCGAAATGTGCCGGACGAGCATATAGCGGAACGAGAGTGCCGTCGACCATCAGCCAACCATCCCGCCATGCAGGGCACGAATGCTCTTCGACCCATTCCTTTGCCTGCTCCTTTTCCTCCTCGGTTGGCTAGCGGATTGCAGATTTCCGGACACGGTCACGGCACAAGGCAGCAATGACCTGCCGAGTGGACTTCACAACGGTCCCAAATCCCAGCCCAAGCTGCAGGCCAACTTTTCGTACGCTGACACCATTTCCGTAGTGCCCAAATCGGTAGAGGGCAACAGCGAGCTGTGAATCGGCCGCAAGTTGTTCGGCAGTGTCGGAGTTGTTGTGGAAAACGGGGTCATCTTGGATCGCATCCAGCAGGGCATCGAATGTTGCCGGCGTGACACGAAGATAGGATCGGAAGAAGTCGGGGAAGCCGGTTTTCCAGTCCTCGAGCAGCACCGAGAGAATGTTGCCCTTGAGAATGACATGACGCTCATTGAGATAGCGTTGAGCATGCAGAGAGATGAGACCCAGCATCAGCATGGCATGTTCTCGTCGTCCTTGGCCGCGGCATCATCTGCCGGCGCGTTGGGAGCACCTGCAGCATCTTCCTCATCCTCGAGCTCCTGGAAGGCCTCCAGGACCTTCATGATCCCAATCATCTCCAAGATCTCGTCCGTGTCGCGCTGCCGCTCGGTCTTTTTGCGGCATCGGAGCAGCAGTGGAGGTGGGAAGAGGCAAGAGAGATGGATTATCGATAAGATAGACGCGCCTCCGGGCACGGATCATGCTTTGCGTAATATATTTTAATTTACTCTGCCTTGCCCTACCGTGAACACCCGGGGCAAGATTCTGGGCAAGCAATAAAATTATTCACTTTCCCAGAGTCTTGCCCGAAGGTTTGCCCAGAGTTTTGCCCGCCTACCGTGAACTCCCCTATTGCAAAACAATTGACGCACTGAGGCATAGCCTGCATCATATAATGTCCGAATTCAGGTAACGTTTTGGGCCCATGAATTCGGCCGTCAAAAACCATGAATTATGGTACCCAAATCATCCTTATACATGCAGTAGTTGTAGAGAAAATAATTATTTACTTTCCTATTTAAAAAGAGGTGTGATCATGTCTGATTGCGGTTGTGCCAACACTTCTGCAAACAGCAATAATATAAGAGTAACATCTTTGGTATATCTTGTACCACTCAACAGAATTTTACCCCCTGAGTTGACCCTAAAGCCCACTGTATATTATCAGTGGCAAGAGTGCATGTTCTACTGAGAGTGCACACCGGAGGCAATGCCCGCGGCATCAGGGCGCCTGATGCTTTACGGGCATCAGGCGCACCTGGAGCATCCTTCAGATGTATGCCGGTGGGTCGTGTTCACAGCGAGGTAGCACGGATCTGTCATTCGTATGCCAATCATAATTGATCCCTTTCTCCCCTCGGTCACACTTTTGATCTCCCTTTGTGCTTTCATCAGTGGCGACGCGCACCAACAGAGTGGACCGGGAATGACTGGCAGGGGTTGCTGCAGCATGGCAAGTGGTGACTCTCTCTTTCTTTGACCACCACCACTGATTCAGACTCTAGTCTCAAGTTCTCGATGTCTTCACAAACTCCAAACCAACCCCCCGACAACCGCTTCAAACCCTACGATGCATCAGATTCACGCTATTCTGACCTCAAGGGCAAGCCGCGTATACCCCGCCCCGCTCCACCCACTCAAGCTCCAGCAAGTGAAGCTGGCCACAGCTCTGGTGACCACATCAGTAAAACAGCAGGCTGGTCTTACACAGCTTTGGTCTTTCACAGGAATCTTAGTCTTTCTGATCAGATCTTTCATCTTTCACAGTGAGTCTTTCAGCTTTTGGACAATCTTTCATCTTCTGGACATTTTGGCAGTACAAATATCCCCTTCTCATATATTTTGCTCTACATGGTCCCCAGTCACCCAACCTAGTATTTCATGTTGTTCAGAACAAAGCTTTGCCACCCAGACTTGAGCACCGAGGTACTTTGGAGGTAAGTGCTTAGTACTTACTCTACAACTTTTCCTCCACAATTGCATTGGGAAGAGGGAGATATAAACCTATATTCAATGTCATGTCTCATGATAGCTTTAAGTGCCGGTTGCTGCACACTCAGTGTAGGCCAAGATTGTACTTAGTACTCAAGTCTTGGCCGTGCCAACGTCGGATCATGACAACGCAAATCAATCACGTTGTCACATCACACCAAAATGGCGCCATCGATTTGACTCATCGATGGGGCGATTTCTTCTTGTCCTCTTCCCACCATGTTCCCCCCCTTCCTAGTCAAGTCCAGCCCTTCATGTCCTCGAGACCCGTCGGCGTCAACTTTCCAAAGCATTTCAAGAGCTTCTCTTGTCTCCCTCACCACCTCCTCCCATGTCAAATTGTGTGTGGATGCATCAACAAGCCCGAAGCCCTACTGCTGCGCAAACCAATGCAAAAATCCCGCAATTCTTCAAGACATGCAATTCTCCAGCATCGCGCCTCAAGAGAATTTCAAGCGCAATCAATTGTGAGTGCAAGAGAGAGCGCAGTTGAGGGGAGAAAGTGGGGTCAGTTGTAGCCTGTGGATGGTAAGTCGTTGTCTCTCACCCGCATTTGGAATTCAAGTCTACAGAGTCATGCTGTCGCGCACACGCACGTCTTCGCCTGTGTCAGGCTGGAGCGCCCACGTGGTACCCGGGTCGAATGACGAGCGGCGGATTATACCGCATTTGTCATAGCGGACGATTGAGAGCCGCGGTGAGGCGCGCTGTGGTCGGCGCAGAGCCAGACGGTGTCGGCTGAAGATGCGGAGGCGGCCGAGAGCGTCGAGCAAGCAGGTGGTCTGTCGCCCGTAAGACTGAAGGTTACGTTCGTGGCTTGAATGTTTGTAGAGACAAGCTATATATGATTTATCATCTTTTTACTGTTTTCGGCGGACTCTTTCGCAAATATATACCTGTCTTTGAAAGGATCTTTCAGAAGACAAGCCATTGTCTTCCCGGTCTTTTCGCAAGACATGTGTCTTGCAGCAAGATACATGAACCTACTTACGAAAGATCAGACATCTTTCGTCTTTTTGGTCTTTCCCGTCTTATCGGGGCCGGGTTCAGGGCCGGGGCGGGGGCCAACAGCAGGCTCAACTCCGCGCTCAGGGTCAGGGCCGGCACGAGCACCAGTATCCGGCCCCACGCCCGGACCGTCTTCAGGGCCGGGGCCAGCACCATGGCAAGCGCCACGGTCATCGCCCAAGCCCGCTTTCGCCGCTTCTGGGCCTGCTGCGGGGCCGACGCTGGGGCAAATGCAAAAGCCAGCCGCGGGACCGGCGCTGATGCAAGCGCAAGCACCCGGGCAATCGCCCAGGCCTTTACCAGGGCCCGCTTCTGGGCCCGTACCAGCGCCGGGGCAAGCGCAAGGGTCGGGGCCGGCGCTGGGGCAAGTGCACGGGCCGGCCGCGGGACCGGCGCTGACGCAAGCGCCACCGTGGCAGGCGCCGGGGCAATTGCCCGGGCCTTTACCAGCGCCCGCTTCTGGGCCCGTACCAGCGCCGGGGCAAGCGCAAGGGTCGGGGCCGGCGCTGGGGCAAGTGCACGGGCCAACGCAAGGGCCAACGCAAGGGCCAGCACCCGGCCCAGCCGCAGGACCGGCGCTGACGCAACCGCCGGGGCCAGGAGCCGGGCCAGCACCATCGCGAGTCCCGGGGCAAGCGCAAGGGCCGGGGCCGGGGCCGGGGCCGGGGCCGGGGCCGGGGTCAGGCCCGGGGTTGGGGCAAGCGCAAGGGCCGTGGTCGGGCCCGGGGCTGGCGCAAGGGCAGGGGCCGGGGTCGGGGTCAGGGCCGGGGCTGGGGTCGGGGTCGGGGCCAGGGCTGGGGCAAGCGCAAGGGCCGGGGCATACTTCCAGGTCAGCATGGGGACCGGGACCAGCGCCGTGGCGAGCACCCGAGCCAGCACCCCAGCAATTTCACCCCGATCCACCACCACCACCCCCACATCAATCAGCTCCTCCTCCTTCGCCTCGACAGTCTTCCTCCCCTGGACCACAATCTGGTCCAAGTCATCAGAAACCTTTTTCTTCCCAATTCAAGTGGAGGAAAAATGAAAGACGCAGTCATGAAAAGAGGAAGGGTAAAGAGAAGGCCCCCAATGATCAGAGTTCTTCCGACCGGTCGCATGCTCGGAAAAATAAATACCGAATTCCAACCCGGGGCAGCGGTAAACTGTCAGATACAGATGCTGATCTTCAGGTAAGTTTTTTACTTATGTTTTCTTCATCTTCTGATTAAATCTTACAGAAAGGAGCTACACTCCACTTCCAAATCCTCACCAATATTCGTAGTCAATCGGATATGGTAGTAGCACCAACAGCAGAGGAGAAGAAGCAATTCTCAGAACGCTTTGGCTCTGCTGAAGAGTGGCGAGCAAAGCTCCGTTCTCTCAGCTGTGATGAATCACTGGGTGAGGAGAAGGTTGAGGAGCTACGGCGTGGGGATGCAATTCGTAAGCAAGGCCAAATTGTCAAGGACATTGCAGCAATGAAGAACACTCACCTCCACATTATCTTTAGTGCTGTCTTTGAATCAGGCTTGGCTCGTTTTGCTCCAGATATTCTAGGTTCTCCAGATAGCTTATATAATCTTGCACATGAAGACATTGCGATTGAGACTTTTCAACGTGTAGCTTTGCATCAGGCATATACACGTGATACTACAAATCTTCGAAATAGAACCCTTGTTCGGCGACTTTATCGGCACTTCTTCTTTGCATCAATGTATGACAAGGTCATAAGTGAAACCCGGAAACCTGGTTCCGTGACCACTCAACAAGAGAAAACTAATATCTATAAGCGCCGTAATGATGTATGTTTTATGATATACCTATATAGTAGATGCTAATTTTTTTTGTAGGATCAGCAAGAGTTTCAGGATTTTCTCAAACAAGATGGCTGGCCTGTTTTCACACGCCGTCTTGCATCATCTCCAGAGTGCTGCAGTGAAGATGAATCTCAGGCAAATAATATCTATGTTGCTTGCAATCTGGAATTGCGAAGCAAAAAGGCTATGCTATTCAAGAAGAGTATCAACAAGCGTATGCTAGCTTCTGCCCGTTCCAGATCACGTTTTGTCCCACGCACTCGGGTTTATGTCGAATCCCCACCTGCACCTAAAATTGCATCTCGTATTCCCAAACATGCTCCAGTGGATTGGTTTAATCCAGCTGAGTTCAACAAATTGAGTGTACGGCTTCGCTATCTGATTTGGAGAAATGGAGTTGCACTTCCTGCCTTAACCCACTGGGAGAAGGATAAAGAGGGAGATTTACAGGTTCCAGACAGGTTTAAAACCCTTGGTGGTGATGAATGGGATAAATATGTTGAAGAGGTGTTAAAGGAGTATAATATTCCAACTGATGAGGAGCTTAACAATGTTGATCTTGAGGACGTAGTGGAGGAGGAGGAAGAGGAGGATATGGATGACATGGATATGGATGAATAATATGTCAAATATGCTGTCTTTATGCTATGCTTTTAT